CTAGGCGTTCTCTGCTTTTCGTTTTTTTTTTCCTCTCTTTTTTACGTCTTTCACGTCCCTTTTTCTTTTTCTTTTCCATCCCTCCCTAGTTTTTAGGTTTGATGGATTTGGGCTTGGATTTAGGAAAATTGGGTTGGGTCCATTTTTTGTTGGGTTTAAATTTGGGTTAAGAAGATTAAAATAAGGAATTTTTATATTTCGATGCCACATAGGAAACCTTATTACCCTTAATGTTTAAGGTTTGACTTAATTACATTTAGTATACCAAATTATCAATTCTATACCATAATTAATTAAGGGTATAATTAATTGTACATTTTTTACTCTTTAATTAAAGGAATCTGCATGTTTCTCTCTCCTAACCCCTCAGTTTCACCCACGTTTTACCCATACACACGTTCTTTTTACTATTTTCCATCTTCTGAAACCAAATTCTCCCTCTAAATTCACAGAAAATTGAAAAAATCCTTCAACAAAGTTGGTTCCCCGTTTTACTCCAGTTGAAGTTCATCAATGAAGAACAACAAAGTTCATCAAAATTGAAGTCAAATCTTCAAAGTTCATACACACATTTGCCTTCAGCTTCAAATTTTCTCAATGAAGAAGAACAAACCTTCAAAGAGACAAGAGAGCAGCAATTCCACCATTGACAGCCATTAAAAAGCTTTGAAGCTTTGAATTCAAATTTGCGTTTTTAAAAATCATTATTTGTTTTGATTGGGTGTTGTTGTAAATAATTGGGAATATATTTTGGAGTTTATATCTCAATTTTGAGGGGTTTTGGTGAAGATTTAGACTTAGTTTTGGCTGAATTTCAGAAGAAGAAGAAGAAGAAGAAGAAGAAGAAGAAGAAGAAGAAGAAGAAGAAGAATTGTAGCAATTGTAGAAAAATTGTAGACTGTTTTTTGCAGAAGATTTGTAGAAGTTTCAGTCGTTTTTGATTTGTGAAAACAGAAAACAAAGCATCTACAATCAGAATACAAATAATCTACAATTTATCTACAAACTGGGTACATTGAATTTTAATATCCCAATTTCCATTCAATTGTAGCTTAATTGGTATTTTCGACATAATTGTATTTTTTGCAGAAGATTTTGTAGGAGTTTTAGTCGTTTTTGATTTGTGAAAACAGAAAATAATGCATCTACAATCAGAATACAAATAATCTACAATTTATCTACAAAATATCTACAAACTGGGTATATTGAATTTTAATATTCCAATTCCCATTCGATTGTAGCATAATTGGCATTTTCGACGTAATTGCGTTTTTTTGCAGAAGATTTGTAGAAGTTTTAGTCGTTTTTGATTTGTGAAAACAGAAAATAAAGCATCTACAATCAGAATACAAATAATCTACAATTTATCTATAAAATATCTACAAACTAGGCACATTGAATTGTTATATCCCAATTCCCATCCAATTGTAGCATAATTGTGATTTTTGACATAATTGCGTTTTTTTCAGAAGATTTGTAGGAGTTTTAGCCATTTTTTATTTGTGAAAACAGAAAATAAAGCATCTACAATCAGAATACAAATAATCTATAATTTATCTACAATTTCTGCAATATGTCTTCTTCTTCTTCTTCGAGTTTCAATCTGAAATTCAGTCAAAACCAAGTCTAATCTTCACCAAAACCCCTCAAAATTGAGATATAAACTCCAAACCATATTCCCGATTATTTTTAACAACACCCAATCCAAACAAATAATGAATTTTGAAAACCCAAATTTAAATTCAAAGCTTTCAAGCTTTTTAATGGCTATCAATGGTGGAAAATATTTGGAAAAATATTTACTTTCATAATTGTAGCGCGCCTAAATAGGAATATCTGGAAGAATATGATTTGATCTGATTTACGCCAAATCTTTTTAGAATATTCTGTTCCTCAATTTTAGCTCGACAAATTAGGAATATTCAGCTACTATTAATTAGTATTTAATGATTGGTATAATAGCTGTAGAAAAAATGTGGACAGGGCGGGTAAATTAGAAACTATGCACATTTTTTGTAATAAAGTTTCATATATGGTATAGGAAAGAAAAAATCCCTTAAAATAATATAATATAATGTAATTATAAAAATATAAAACTACTCTTAATTAATTAAAATAAACTACTAAAATAAAACTAAATATTAAAAATTAAACTATTTTTGTATTTTTAAATGTTATAATAAAGTAAAAAGTAAAAAAAACAGGCTAAAGTCATGGTAAAATATTATAAATATACTAATTGACCTTAAACTACAAATGAAAATATTTTTTGTGTTTTTAAATTGTAATTTGAAGTAAAAAATTGACTAAAACTCCACAAAAATTAAAGTTAGTTAAATAAATATTTTAAACACTAAAAACAGCTCGAAAATGTGACGGATCAAAAATTATGTGCTTACAGAATTAACATAAATTGATACACAAATAACAACTACAAGTGACGTGGATAGTTGATTAGGCTGCTGACTTGACAAATTCAAACGACAACTAGACCTTTCTTTCACATTTCAGTTTGGCGGGAAAGTTAGTTAAGAGAGTCACATTTTATGCACTTGTTATTTTGAATTGTTTTCAATTGTCAATCGGTATAAGTAGGGTGATTGTACTAGAGACCTTATGCAATTACCATAATACAAATCTGATTTCTCTTTTTCTAATTCTCTTCTCTCATCTTCTTTCTTCTTCTCTTATCTTCAAATTACGGTTCCATTGCTCGACTTGATACCAATTTGGTATCAATTGGTATCAGAGCTTGCGTAAGCGATGGGTCCTCGCAAAGTAGTAGATGTTGTCAGTGAGAATCCAATCTTTGATTTACAAGAGCTGAACGAAGACCTGGCAGCACAACAAGTGTATTTGCGAGCTATAATTGATCAAAAACACAAGATTTAAGGGATTACATGGAGCGCAGGCACACAAAGATGATTTAGATGGTCAACGCACTCAAAAGCTCCATTGATGGATTGCAGTTACATCAACAACCTCGAGAGAATGCATCAACTTCCAATAACAGTGGTCAGAGAGCTCAAATGAGACAAGGTACCTTAGGTTCTAACCCTTACTACACTAATTTCAGTGATCGTGGGAATAATATGTTATTTTCTCGATTCAATGGAAAAATCTAAAAACATAGTTGTATAGAGCTGAACAATACTTCATTGTTGATAATATACCTAATAACCTAAAGGTCAACTTGGTTGCAATGAATTTGGATGATGAGGCATTAGTTTGGCACCAATCATATCACAAATTTAGAGACCTAGTAATTTCACCTAATTTGGAGGAATATTTGGCTGGTTTAGTGGAAATTTCAGTGAAGAATTTACAGATCCAATGTTAGAACTAAAATAGTTAAGGAAAATTGGATCTGTGAGGGAATTCCAACTTGCTTTTGCGCGATTGCTTGCTCATGTGATCTATCTATTAGTCAAGCTACTTCTTGCTTTCTAGGAGGTTTAAAGGAAGAATTGGTCAATCATGTGAAGATGCATGAACCTCAAACACTCTCTAAAACCTATAGGTTAGCTAGGTTGTTTGAGGCAACCTTAGCAGCTAATGTCAAAGCTCACAAACACTATTCCTCAGTTGGCTTTCCTTTGCCCATGAAGAAACCAACTTATGAACCACCTCCACATAAACCTACCTACCTTGTTCCAGCTTCTATGCCCAAATTAGCCTTACCAGCACCAAACACTACCAATATTCCTAGAACTATAAGAACCATATCTCCTGCTGAGATGCAACCTAGGAGATCTAAAGGCCATTGCTATTTCTGTGATGAAAAGTAAACTCCATGTTATAAATGTAACCTTCCCAAGCAAATGTTTGTTATGGATTTAGAATTCCCTGAGGAAGAACTGGTAGAGGAAGACTTGTCTAAATCTGAGTGTGATTCACCTAAAGAAGAATGGTCCAACTCTGAAGGTGACACTCATATGATTTCCTTATGTGCTCTTAATGGGTTACATGACGCTCAAACCATCCATGTGACTAGATACAGTGATAGTCGACTAATTCAAATTTTATTGGATGGTGGAAGCGCCCACAACTTCATTGATGAAGAGTCTCCTAAGAGATTAAGCTGCACAGTTCACCCTACTAAGGTAGCATATGTGAGCCTGGGAAACAATACTTTGGAAGCTACTTCACGAGTGGTGAGGAACTTTGAATTGGTCCTGTAGGATACTACATTCAATTCTGATTTGATTGTGTTTCCGGTAGGTAAATGTGACTTGGTATTGGGTTCTTTATGGATGAAGACCTTGGGGCCTGTCACTATGGATTATTCTGAGCTCACTTTGCCATTCAACTACCAAGGCAAGTTCCATTTATTGAAAGGTGTCACTGATAAATATAAGGTGCTCAATTGTAAAGGAATAGGTAAACTGAAAAGTGATGAAGTCCAACTTTTCATGTTATATGTGGTCATAGCTCAGCCTACATCAACAAACAACACTCAACTTAATTCTATTCATTTAGCTAACGAGCATAGTATTCCATCTCCTCTCGAGCACCTACTTAGAAGGTACTCCCAGATTTTTGTTGAACCTACTTTACTACCTCCTATCAGGGGTCCATCTGATCATTAGATACCCTTGCAACCAGGAGATAAATATGTTAACATCAGGCCCTACATGTATTCATCCATGAAGAAAGACATTATAGAAAAGCTTGTTTAAGAAATGCTACAACAAGGGATCATTCAATACAGTAACAGTCCTTTTTCTTCCCATGTGGTCCTTGTAGGAAAAAAAAAGATAGATCATGGAGGCTATGTGTAGATTTCAGGGAATTGAATCAGTATACTATCAAGGATAAATTTCCTATACCAATCATAAATGACTTACTAGATGAATTGGCAGGTGCAACAATTTTCTCTAAAATAGACTTGAGGTCTGTCTATCACTAGAT